GAAATGACAATGGCAGTGTTTTAATTATCTAATAGTTAGGTGGAACGGTGTTAATGTTATCACGCCGGGTCAGCTCTTCCCAAAAATCGGCCATTTGATATAAACTTTTTCAATATATTTCGGATGGACATGAAACTTGCTACATCAATATAACTTTCCATTCCGAACAATCGTATGTTTTTTATTTTTGAGATTTAACGGTTTTTGGCGGGAAAATGACGTCACGAAACCTCCAGTTAAAATTTATTTTCAATATCTTAATAGTTTTGTCGCAGAATTTGGAAGAACATATCATGAGCAGTTCAAAACTGAAAACGGATTTTAAATATCTAAACCTAATCCAAAGTTATTTCACTATAAAAACCGTGAAAAATCTATAAATAGTAACAAAATGGTGGAAAATTCGATTCTAAACTCCCTGTATCTCGTGATTAGATTAAGATATTTAAAATCTGTTTTCAGTTTTCAACTCTTCATGACATGATCTTCCACATTCTGCTTAAAAACTATTAAGATATTGAAAATAAATTTTAAATGGAGGTTTTGTGACGTCATTTTCCCGCCAAAAACCGTTAAATCTCAAAAATAAAAAACATACGATTGTTCGGAATGGAAAGTTATATTGATGTAGCAAGTTTCATGTCCATCCGAAATATATTGAAAAAGTTTATATCAAATGGCCGATTTTTGGGAAGAGCTGACCCGGCGTGTATTTGGGTTTATTTTCTCAGTTCAACTGGAGGTGTGGTCGGATTTTCATTGATGTGGATTTCAGTGAACAATTATGTCGTTTCCAAGTGTACCAGTTGATACCATCAGCGTATGATTTGTGTGCACCATGATGATAGAGACCATTCAGATTGGATAGATGACATGCCGCATACCACCAAGCGCCTTTGAATTGAACGGCGCAGTTCTTTTCATATGCATCATTGTCGGAATCTTTAGTCGAGAACGCCATACCTTTATGGAATGTGAACGAGTCTCCTGCAGTACCTAAAGATAATTACCAGAATACTTAATTACTCCCCGAAAAGAGAGTAATCTTGAAAATTACAACATTAAAATAATTACTAGAAAATACATGCGTGCTAGAAACCCTCGCCTTGCTGACAAAACCATTGTATTTTCCGAACATGAGGTATTTCAAAGTAGTTGCCATGGTAACACTACAGATGAGTTATATACAGATATAAATCTCCCGTCATAATGTGTCACACGATTTTTCGCACAAAATGCGCATGCGTAATCTCCTGGCAAGAGTCATGAAAAATTCGAATCAGTAAACTAATAGGAAAATTATTTTTTTTACAAACAAATGGCGATTTAAAGAAAACCTTCAATACGATGTCCTATTTGACTTAAATTTTTTCAAAGAGGGATGGACTAGAGGGATAAAACTTCCAAGTTTTAGCTAGGAATTAAATTGGTATATGAATCCTCATGATGCTGCCGAAAACAGGGAAAAACATAGCTGAAGAGTGCAAAACATGTCAAATCGAAAGTTTTGCAATAATTTAGCATCGGATCCATAGATATCTTATATACACTAGATAGCGCATCTCTTTTAGTAAAATTGAAGCCAACAATATTCCAGCGGTTACCCCCATTTGAATAGATGGCGGCCATGTTGGTCGTTCCCACTTGCTAATAAACGCTTAAAAACAACAATAATTTTCATCATTTGAATATTTTAAAAACGAATTTGGAATAGGGTTAACTTAATGTTTAAGTTCCCTGTTTAAGAAATAGAAAACATACGAATCTTCTCATTTCATGGGAACGACCTGAGTTTGCAATCACGGCTTCAACTTTTGAATTGCAGAATAATTAGATGCACTATCTAGTGTATATAAGATATCTATTATATATATATATATATATATATATATATATATATATATATATATATATATATATATATATATATATATATATATATATATATATATATATTATTTTTGAAATCCCAAATTGTATTTTCTAATTTTTCTATATTACATTTTGTTTATATTTTGTTCATTTTTTGTTTAAAGCCCTGTCACATTATTGCGTATGAGAGAAAAGTTTGAGAAGCGTATGCAAGTTAATGAAATAATTTTCATACGCACAAAAATCCTTTGAAATGCCAGCGTATGAGTACCGTACATCTGGTGTACCTCTATAGCGTATTCAGCGTGTGCCTAGAGTGCGCTTATCGTATAAAGCATACGTCCGATAAAATTTTTGAACATGCTGAAAAAAATTTTCTGCCTCGGCGTATGCCACCCTACGCGACCGTGCTTGAAACGTATACAACGTATGCCTAACGTACCCCTAGCGTATGTCAGCGTATACCGGCGTATGAGTCACATGAGTGATATTTTTCATACGCTGGCATATACGCTAGTACGATACGCAATAGTGTGACAGGGCCTTTACATTTTGTTCAGATATTGATGAGTGCACTTCTTCCAATGTGTGCATCCAAAATGCAAAATGCTCAAACACCGTAGGATCTTACGCATGTCATTGTATTGTGGGGTACACGGGTGATGGCAACAATAATTGTACAGGTGAGGATACAAAAATATATAACATGATACTGCTTGCCGCCTCCCATTAGACTTAGTCAGAAACTTTGATAACTATAATATTCGGTGTACACTTATGGCATTTAACATTAAAATGGGTTATGAGTGATCATAATAGGCCTACAAATTTTAATATTTTTCAGTACCTTATTTCATCGAAAAATAAATATAGTAAAGGATCTCGCAAATCAAATCCTTAAAGTTAGATCCTGCTTTTCTCATGCAGAATGGAGCATTTTATGCAGCATAAACTCGAAATCCAAATTCCCCATAGGCTTAATATTATTCATTGTACATGATAAATTTAAAAGCGGCCTTAATTAATGATATTAATAATTGTAGTGTATCGCGCCAGGATACAGAATATTCGAAGGAACAACATAAAAACTAACAGTCTGCTTCGGTGGCTTAAGAATTAATAATCAATTACGATGTACAAGTAAACATCATTACGACCTATAGTGCATTACTAATTAACCTATTACGGTAATTAGCCTAGTTGTATATTAACAAGGGGGTGGACAGTACATCTCTCCACACATTAAGATAGAGTCTTTCTTCTAATGATACTACAATAATGAGCACAGTGATATGGACTAACCAATATATTTTTTCACATTTTTGCTAGATATAAACAATTGTAAAAATGTACTATCAGTTTGCCATAAAAATGCAAGATGTTTAAATACTGAAGAATCTTATATTCCTGCCAGTGTAAAAATGAATTTTCTGAAGATGGCGCACAAGTCTGGTAGTTGCAAATTAACACTAGTTGAAAAACTCTTCTGCCACAACCATGGGTACTTGTAAAGAGTTTTCCACAGGTTATTTACCACATTCAGCTTTGTTGTATATTTAATGTACTGGTATTATCACGTTTATTTGCTCCTACTGTACTAGCATCTGATTGGGTCAAAATAGTGCGATTAATTCCTAATTATTTTAAGATTCAATTCCCACAATCGTGAGATTACATCCTATCATTTTTCAACCAATCATATTCATTACAAGTGCTGACAGCTAATTCTAATCAAATTAAAGTATAAAATTCAACCAGCCAGTCAGTCAGTTATAGGCTGACGCTGTTTTATTAGTAAACTGATAAATATCAGTTTTTATATTTTTTTGTTTTTCTAAACCCAAACCACACCAGCCAACAATCAATATCGAGTAAAATTCTCGTCTGGCGTTAAACAGAATAAAATAATCTGGTGTTACACACAGTATTAAAATAATAAAGTAGTGTGCATTGGAGGCTCAATGCAACTCTGTGATTTAAGAAGAATGTGGTCTGCAAAGCCAACATAAACATCATCCATTATTATTTTGGTCCACCAGAGAACTGTGGAAGCTTTTAACGAATTATATGCCAGTATTAGTGTGTGTGTAAAACACAAACCTGCTGATCCCCACAGTCTGCAAGCTTAAAAACAGGTCAAATTGCTTCCAGAGTTTTATGTACTATTTAAAAAACGAGCAGGAGTGTTTTATTATGTTTAAAGCACGAGCGCGCAGCGCGAGTGGCTTTAGACCTAATAAAACACGACCTGCGAGTTTTTTTAAATGGCTTCAAAACATTTGCATAATAAGTCAAATCTTTATATAAAAATCTTTATATAAAAATTTTTATACAAAAATCTTTATATAAAAATATTTATATAGTTTGCATAACAATAATCTTTTGTTAAAGTGTTCTTTAACTGGTATAAAGACGTATGCACGTGATGTTTCCCCTACCAATTATATAGTATACGCGTACTATAATTTACCAGGGGCCATGTTGTTCAAAGGTGGGTTAGCGCTAACTCGCAGGTAAATTTTAACCGACCTTTTAGTTTCTCTATTTCTGCACGTCTGTTTATTTCAAAACTTCAAAGAAGCAAACTCCTAACTGATTCAAACAAGATCTCTAAAGAAATATTGCCAAATTTATAAAGAAGTTGTTGGGATCTTTGCTTTGAATTTTAGGTTAAACTAGGGTTAAGCTAATCCATCTTGGAACAACTGGCCCCAGGTCCAGAAATGCAATCTGGAACTTGCAGCATTCATTTTTACATAAACAAAATATAACAACTAAATAACATCAAAATTTCCAAACTAAATTCCAAACTAATTTCCAAGCAAATTACAAACTAAATATTTAATAAAATCCTGCGAGTATATTTTAACCAACTAACCAAATAAAGCGATTATTTCACCAACAACTGAACAACAAGTTGCTAATTTAAAATTAATGTAACATAAATTGTTGTGGTATCGAATACTATAGATGTTTGAATATATATAAACCGCGCGAAAAGTTTAAATCACCGCTTATAGAATGAATATATTTAAACTTACTTTTGTAATCTTTAAATCTTCTGAATCCGAATCTTCAAAATTTACTAAAGCAAGAAAAAATAGTAATTGATACCCGCATGCGCAGGAAATAAGTGAGCTTTCAGGCTAACCCACTGAACTAGAAGTAAACTGGAATGATAAGCTAGCGAACGTAAGTAATGCCACTCTTCAAACAAAAATTTCCAAAAACACATATCTTAAGCAATTCGTATAGAGTAACAAAAAAAACCATAGTGCAAATGGAGTTGTAGTAAACAAATTGAGACCACAAAGTAACCAAAGATAGAACCAAAAAACTCCACAGATAAAAAGCACCATAGACCTGATTGCCAAAACGTTGAGTCATGCATGAATGCAATTTCACCGAACTTTGCATTCCGATTTTCTGAACTATACCGGGGACCGGCTGTATAAAAACGCAGTTAGCGTTTACTGCAGTTAAAAAGTAGTTAAAAAGTAGTTAACTTTAATCATGCACGTATAGTTAAGCCGGTTGTATATAAAGGTGTAGTTAGCCTTAACTGCAGTTAAAAAGTAGTTAAAGTTAGCTATGCTTTAGGGTATAGTTAACTATCCAAAACGTAGTTAAAAATGGCGTTTATATAGGAGTGAACAACATTTTTCAGTAAAACAATAATAAAAAGCAAC